GTGTAAATTTTGTTAGATCTTATAACTTTATATGTATATATATATATATATAAATTATATTAATATTAAGATAAATTAAAATATTTTATAACTGAATTTTGTACAAAATACGTACATAGTATATTACACGTACATAAACAAAAAAATAAAACATTCCAATTGCTATTAAAATTACTATTAATGTTATAAAGCTCCATCCTGGCCATGTAAAAAATGTAGTAGTATGGACTAATAACCTTCTTCTTGTGCAGACACCCATTGTTTCTATCATTCGATTTCTTTTAGTTAATCCTGACAGTTAAACTTCTTAATTTAATCGAAATTAGTATAAAATCTGATAATGTATCATAGTTTATAATTTTTAAAAATTCATGAAATTTTAAATAAATTGTGGAAAAAGAATTCGTTTTAAAAGATGTACTCGATTGAAAACATGTTTTATATATTTTGTTATAAACTGTATATATGGAACAGAAAATTTTATTGATATGAATTCAATAAATTATCGGTAACTATTTAATTTGACATTTATAAAAAATATGAAGGAGGGAATATATTAAATATCGATTATTTATTTGAAGTGAGTAGAGATTTGCGTTTAATTTTAAAATTCTAATAGTAAATATGATTCTATGCAATTGCCAATAGTGGCAATCCTGTTTAACAGTAACACCATGACGCTAGTCATGACGGCTGTAGAAGAATTATGGTGTGAAAATGGCTTGAAAACATGTCAACCATGGTAGTTTATTAATGAAATCAATTTTTTTTATATGAGGTATACAAAATGATAATTTGAAAATAAAAGATTAAAACTTGTTTTTAATGGTTACTTTTAATTAAATACAGATTATTTTATCTTCTTAGTTTTATAGTTTTTAGGTTATATTTATTCATTATAATCATTTTATACACATTTATTTTAATGAAATAAAAAGTGATTCTTGTGACAAAATTAATTATTAATATTGATATACAGATGTTGCTTAAATAAGAGGAATTATGTGTAATCTCCTAACATCAGTTATGGAGACTAAAGTAACAAGTAAGACCAGCAGTTTGAAAGCTCTTTTGTTAAGAGCATGGAGAGAACGTTGGAGTGATTTACAATGGGGTATTAACATTAAAACTGTAAGTAATATATAGATTATAGAAGTATCTATTGTGTATTTCCATAAAAATTTTTCATATATCATATTATTTTCAGATTTTACCTAGAGGTGTTAGTGGAGATGTATATAATTTAGCAGACTGCATATTGCAGCAAGCATTAGTAGGACTTGGACCAAATCAATTAGTATTATCATATCTGAAACATTCTTTAAGTTCTCAGGTATATATAATTTATTATTAAAATACTATTAATTTATTTTAAAATATTAATATTTATATATATAAATTTTTAGTTGGTCTCCTATGCCGCTGTATTACAACGAATAAGCAAATATGATGCATTTCATAAACCTCATTGCATTCTAAGTCTTTTAGAATTTTTAGAATCCATTCAAATAGGAATTACATGCCGTGGTAAGCCAGAGGAAGATCTTTTAGCTGCTGCAGTATTATCCATAGTAAATTGGTTACTGCAATGTTATTTACATACTCTAACAAAAATGCCTCAAAACAATCCATTAACTCCGCAACCAACAGAATTGATGGATAAACCTGCTAGTATATTAAAACAGATGCTTAGCTCTGATTTTCTGTGTGCTATGATGTACTTAGCAAAATATGATGATAAAGATTTGTACATAGAAGTTGTAAAAAAATGCCAAGAGATTGAGGCTCTGTTGAAAACTAGTAGTCTAAAGTCTTCTATTCAAATTGAAGATTCTTTAAAGAAACTGTGCAATTTAGAGGATGATTGTTTAACTTTATCTCCTGAAATGTCACAAATGGAATCTATAACTCATTGCCTGCAACCTTTATTTGCTGTTCAAGTGTTATTAAATCCTAGCACAGAAACTTCTGTATTTGTTAACCAGATGCTGATGGTCCAAAGACTTAAAAATTATACAAATACAAGATTATATTGCGAAATAATCCGTGCGTGTTTAATGTGCTTACACAATGTTACAAGTACAATCAATGAATCGCAATGGGGTGCTTTTACGTTTTTAAAAGTACCTCTTATATTAAAAGAATTACATGTAGCACATTCAAATACAGATGATAAATTAGAATATTCACAAGATATTCTAGATGCATTCGAATTATTACTCCAATTCACTCCACTTCTTGATATAGTAGATACTGCGTGTTCTTGTAATAGTATAGAATGTTTGCTCAATGCTCTGCAAAAAGTAAACTTAGTCACAGAAAAGCAAACTAAACATTTAAGTAGCAGAAGAGAAGGTGTTACCGCGAATTTACAAAAATTAGAAATTTCTATAGCCACATCTTCAATTCCTAAAGTAATTGTACGTGCAGAGCCGACTTTATCGGGTATTTTAAAAACTCTTAACGCAGATTATACAAAGATTCACGAGGCATTGCTTAGCATGTTATATCAAGTTTTAACAGGAAACAGTTTTGAACTTATATTAGCAGTAGCTACTGTAGAAGGAAAACTTAAAACTTTTGTTACCAAATTAATTAAGTTCAATGAATGCAGTAAGCAAATTAATGAACCTGTTCCACCAAAGACTGCAGCAAAAAGAGCGATGTTATTCGATATATCATTTCTTATGCTATGTTCTATAGTTCAAACTTATGGATCTGATGTAAGTTTCATTTGATTGCATCTAATGTTAAATAAAGATTTTTTTGTATAAATTAATAATTTTTATATCTTTTTTTAGGCTGTATTAGAAGAAGGGGAAGGAGATTCCTTTTTTGAACAATGGGTACGTGAATATATGCCCGAACGAAATCAACCAAAGTCTCCCCAAAAAATGTTACAAAATATTGATCCTGCAAGAGTAGATGCATTATTAGCACAAATCAATTCTCCAGATCCTGATTTGAAATCTAGCAATATAAAATGGCATATCGCGTGTCAATCTGCTATGGGTGCTGTAAAAGAGCTTCTCTGCGCGTGGGAAAGTGATGTACTTGGAGCAAGTGATGTTAAAAGAGCTCTGGATGGTTTACGTGCAACTGCTTGCTGTTTACCAGTCTGTGCGGCAGCTTGGCTTTGTGCACATATGAGTATTACTCATCAAGATGCTCTTTTAAAACCTTTGAATATGGTACAACATTTCTTAACACCACTCCCCGGCGATGAAATGCAGGATAATCTCAAAGAATTGTAAGTGCGCGAATAAATAATTTTTAAAGACACTTTACATTACTTAATTAAATTAAGTTTGCCTCTTAGATCGAGTTTGATGTCACAAATCATTCGCAAAATGCAGTATGATGTTCATCCACCTACTCAATCGAAAACGAAAGTGCTTTCAATGTCTCACAGGTATTATATTAAAATTTTTATTAATTAATAAAATTTTTATGTTTATGTTATACTTTTTATTTTTTGATAGTATTATATCAAGACAACCTATATTGGAACAATTGGAAACTGTGTGGGGAAACATAAATCAGCGAGGTTGGATAAATATTCAAGCGACACAATCTTTAGAATCTTTATTAAATACTGGTGGTTCTTTATGGTTTGTAACAAATATAGTAAAAGAAGTATTGAAATATCGATACCAAGAAGAACTGGATCAAGCAGTAGATTTAGCGTTTGCCATTTTTCATCTTGATATCGAGAACTGTACCTTAGATCTCATCAACCATATCATTCCACAATATTTATATAACTCGTTACAGTAAGATTTTATTTATATTACAAATATATTTTATAAATATATTAAATAATTTCATTTTTCTCGGTATATTTATTGAATTTATATGTTTAAATGAATTTTTACAGGAGCGAAGAACTCGTAGAACCACAATCTTCAGTGTTAGCAAAGTTATGCGTATATTGTATATTTTCTACATTAGAATACAATAATTCGAGT